TAGTGGGGTGGGGGTGAGTGGGGTGGGTGGGGGTGGGTAGGTGAAACTTTTCAGCAGCAGTGGTAGTACGGTTTTAGCCTTTGGGTGGGGTTTATTTTGGCTAGTTAACCCGTTTGGGTTTTAGTTAATTTCAATCCGGTCTGGTTCCGGTTTAGTTATCTGTTTTTGATCTTTTATCCACCAATTGAAGAGGAAAATTAACTCAGATTATTCATCCTTAATTTTTTTAAAACATTTTTCATTTAGCAGAAATAAAAGAAGAATTTGACAATGAAAACAAAAATTTATATGAAGAAAATCATATTGAGTATATATCATTGTTGATAAGTGGTTGACGGGTTGTTGTGTAATCTAATTTGATGTATTTTTAAAATTCTTTACTAAAAAAAAAAAAGAAGCAAAATAGAGGTGCACTTAATCTTTTTCAAAATGTTATTGAAGTGATAAATATAATAAATTTCAAGGGAAAACAATGAGTCGTTTGATTTGAAGATAAATAATGTTGGAATTAGTTATTTAGTGTTATAATTTATTGATGATTTTGTTTGTTGTATTAAAAATAACATGTATTACATAACTTAAAAATATCATCTTCTTTATTAGCCTTTTATATTCTCTGCAGAGCTTTAGTGATTTGTTCTTAAAATAAATTTTTCACCTTATTTAACTTAAATAGTTTTTGCATGCATTTTCGTGATAACAGTGTGTTCCTCCTATAATATGTGAGAATCCACTAGAGAGTTATCAAACTATCTAAGGAAATGACGACTCAGTCGATAATCTGTAGACAAAAAGATGGCTCATCATTTCAATTGTGGAACAAAGATGTGAGAACCTCAAAATCCCATTGTCCATGATGAACGACAACTCATCATTCTTAAATGTGAACCACAATTTGCAAACGACTATAAAAAGACCCCTTAGTTGTTTTTTGATTTATTTTTCAAGTCTAGAACTTTTCTCTCTGCCTACAAGATGAAACACGACATTCAAAGACTAGGTAAGTCTTTTTCATCATTCGTAAGGTTAATCAAATGGTTTCTAACCCAAACTTAAGAATTTTAATGCATTTCTTGATACGAAATCCTAGGAATTGTCGAAGGAATCAGTTCTTAAAGTTTCAAAAGCAGTTCTTTGTAGATTCTCCATCAAGTTTTGAAGCATTTGAGCATGTAAGATTATTATAGTGAGGAACTCATCTTTTCCTCATGCCATGTACATATAGTTTCAGTTAACATCCCTTACCAACAAGACATTGTATCACCATGATGCTCATGAGACGATTGTCGGTTAGAGAACTCCCCAACAGACTAAAGATATATGTGTACTTCAATATTAGTTATTGATGCATATTTTTACGTTACTCTTTCAGCTCAGTATTTCCAGTCTTAAGCCAATTGATTTATTCAATTATTTAGTGTACATTTCATATAATAATGTCATTCTACATTAATATTGCATCTTTGAGTTATGCATATTCAAGTACTCATAATCGATAATTGACACACCACTAGGGTCTCTCTCATTCATCATTGGTGAAGTCTTCTTGCTTTTGGAGGGCCCCAATTTATCTAGAGTAGTTAGTAGATGCCAGAAATTTCACGAAGGGTGTCCAGAAATTACACAACAAAAAAAATTATTGCTAGTGAGATTCAAACACGGGCTCATTCAATGCGTTTAAAACCCATTAAAGGGGTTTGAAACCACTGGGCTACAACAACCTATTATGTCAAGGGTGTCCAAAATATGTTATTTAATCACTTCGTGTATCATTTACTTGTTTATACAATATCTTTTTTCGACAAATTGGATACCTGACTTGCATGTGCCTCCGCCCCTGGCTTGTAGAGTATTCAGGTAGCCTGGGATCTTATCCCGATACCTATTTTCAGTATATTAGAACCTACATAGACGAGTCAGTTGTGCCATGGTTTCAATTCTTTACAAACATCTTTATTCTTTAGATTTCAGTTTTGTAGCTTTAAAGCTATTGAGTTTGTTTTTGTTTCTCTAAAATTATTGCTTGCGCTCATTCTTTAAAAGTTTTCACACTATTGTTGTAATATTTAGTTTAGTAGTAGACATATCAAGAGTCCACTACGGCCATTAGTGACCCTGAGTGCTGGCACATCCAGAATATAAATTCGGAGCGTGATTGTTATTTTTTTTTCAAATGTTTTCCAAGTGTACAATATCTAACATTTCATGCTTATCTCATGCCCTTATTTCTTACTCTGAACCCATCAATTGACATTTAAAGTTGACACGAATTTTTACTTAGATATCTAATTTCATAATCGATTCAAAAATTGTCACATTAGATACAAAATGGTGACATGGTAAAAAAAAAATATTGCTCACTTTTCTTGGGCACATTAATGGATTTCAAATAATAATATTATTTTTCTTTTGAAGAGTACAACCTTTATTCTATTAGATGAAGAATATTTATGATTTTAAACATGACATTAACTATTGAAATCATAAAATAAATTGTGAGAGTATGAAAAGTCATGAAAAATGTTACGGAGGTATGAGAGATCATAAAGAATATGTGACAATAATTAAAATATGATAAAATTTCACTTACAAATAACACAATTTATACAATTATATTATGTTTAAAAATCTTTTATATTAGTAAAGTAAAAAGTTTATATCTGAGAAATCTTAACTTTCACCTTATTATTGAGAATTTGATTGAGTTTCAATGTGGGCTCCGAACACCAGTTTAAAAAAAAAAAAAAAATTGATATCTTATAATATCTGCCCATTTACCCTTTGATAACCTCATTTTTTAAAAATAAAAAATAAAAAATTGCTATCTGTGCATTTTCCCCCAAATTACACTCAAATGGGCTGCACCATAATATTTTCCTTTTTGTGTTTCTTCCAATAAATTCATTGACGTAAAAAACAGCAGCAAATCTACTCGTCCATCTTTTAGCCCAGGGCCACCGGGAACCACCGCCGGAAAATCAAGAATGCCACCCAAATCCGAAACCCAACCGGCATCATCCACTGCCAAAACCCAATTTTCCGATCCGTCTGATGACTACTCCATCGACCCAATTTTCCACATCCTCCGTGTTCTCCCATTCTCCTTCCTCCGTCCTCCAAAGCTCCGTCTGAAAATCCCAACGGTGACTCTTCCCTCTGCCATGACAGTTTTCAGCCTTATCCTTCTTACCTACTTCATGGTCGTCTCTGGCATCGTTTATGACGTCATTGTTGAACCGCCGGGAATTGGATCAACCCAAGACCGGTTCACCGGAGCTGTTAAACCAGTGGTGTTTCTTCCGGGTCGAGTTAATGGTCAGTATATTATTGAAGGACTCTCTTCTGGATTCATGTTTGTACTAGGTGGTATTGGGATTGTGCTTTTGGATTTGGCAACTGATAAAAACCGAGAAAAGAGTGTCAAGGTTTCTTTTGCATCAGCTGGGATTGTGTTTGTTGTCATTGCTTATGTTATGAGTATGTTGTTTATCCGTATCAAGATCCCAGGTTATCTTCGCTGAAAGTTTTAGCCTTTATCTTTGTTTTAATAAGCACTATGTTATTTTTAGGATTTCTCTGAATGGATTTAGTTTAAAGAGCTTGACATATGACACTGTTTGTAGAAGAGGAGTAAGTGAAGTTATTTCGGGTATTTGTGGCTTTTGGTAGATGTTGGTTATTGAACTGTATGCAATCTTGGATCTCATGAATGCTTAGTAGAAAATTGTTGTCTTTGCTTATGTCATGTGTAAGTTGTTTATCTGCATATGATCTTCGCTGAAGAAAAGAATCAGTTTGTGACTTTGAGGAATTTGCTGAATGGTTTTAGTCTATCTCTCTTTAAGCGAGACTGATACCGTGATACGTGATAATCTTGCTATAGTAGAAGTACCAGAAGTTGATTTGGGTATTTGTGGCTTTTGGTAGATGTTGATTATTGAAATGTATGCAATTTTAGATCTCATGAATTCATAGTAGAACTGTTTTCATTGCTTATGTTATGAGTAAGTGGTTTATCTGCATAAGATCCCAGCTTATCTTTGTTGAAGAAAAGAAATTAGTTTGTGGCTTTAAGGAGTTTTCTGAATGGTTTTAGTTCATCACTCTTTTTGCGAGACTGATACCATGATAATCTTGCTAGAGTAGAAGCAACAGAAGTTGATTTGGGTGTTTTTGGCTTTTGATAGATTTGGAGCATATGAACTGTGTGCAATTTGGTTCTTTGAATGTATGGTAGAAAA